CACTGAGATGGGAAAGTCTGAGAATGAAACAGGTGACAGGGAAGTGAGGAATCAAGAACCCAGTGAAGACTTTGTATGACTGGACAATAACTTCACAACCAAGTTGAGAGTCAAGTGTGTGTGGTCCAGGGTTATCACAGTGTGGGAACAGGAAGAGTAAATAATAAAAGTTCATCACCAGAAAGGACCAGGCAAAGAGTGGTAATTGTTTTCAAATGATTGGCAGATATGTCTGCTGTGCAACATCCAACAGGAATATGATTCTTTATCAATTAGTAGTGGTACTTCATGAGTGGTTTGAAGGAGGGGAGATGTAGCTTCCTAAGATGATGGGGCTTCTACACCAAAGAGGCCTCATCCAGGAAAATGTCTGCATGCAGTAGAAAAGTAAGCATGCTGGGTTGGGGGTGGGAGTAGAAAAGGTATCTACGATTAGTAGAGGTGTTAATTCAGAGGATTAAATAATCTCTCACTTATTTGTAAGTTGAAAAAATTTTGCTTTTATGAGGAGACAAATGACAAGCAGAGTGATATAAAAATGGTTTTATAAAAGTAAGTTCTGGGCCATGCCACAGGTCAGTATAAGTTCTGCTGAGTTTCCTAAGATGTCTACACTGTTAGCACTGATGGATGATAACTGATTCATATCAGCACAGGCCTGCAACGGCGCCCAGTTCTGGGCATCTTCAGAATTACTAGAGTATTCAATACCACTCAATTATTAAGCAAACTTAATGACTTCAAAGTCTTTGAAAATTGAATGTTCACAGAAAACAAACTTGGAAACTTTCATAATAAGACCTTAACCATTCTATGTGAAAACAGGTTATCTGTCAGGGTAAGCAGCTTGGCACTTCTGGTGAGTTCCTTAGGAAGGGGTTAACTGGAGCAAGGGCACAGTCAGCATCTGATTACAAGGCTGCGGTCAAAAGCACAGATGGTGTGGTGACCCGCACCAAACAGGAAGTGACATCAGCAGCAGAGGAGCTCAGACTAGACCAGTACAAGGGAGGAGAATGAGCAGCTTAGGACCTCAAAAACTAGCTCTCAACTACTAGATTCATGAAGTCATTCAACACATATCTACTGAGCACCTACTGTGCTTTCAGCACTCTGCTAGGTGCCCAGGTGACAGCAGGGATAAGACACACATAGTACTACTCCCAGCAAGTTTTCAACCTGCCAGTGAGAGAGAAGTGAATGATGTCAGTCCAGGGATTCCTGATGGTGACTGTATAATGGACATTGATTTGCTTCTCTCTGCCCCACTTGAGGGTTAAGACAGGTTGGGGCACCAGGAGAGAAAAGCTTGAGCCTTCTAAGGTCCCCAGTAAGTCACCAGGCCAAGGTTTTAATCCAGATTTTTTTTAATGTCTTTCAGAAAGACATAAAGATATGGCATTGAACTTAATGGATACTTAAATTTTTAGTTTTTGTCTACACTAGTCAAATTAAAGAGCTATTTGGCCATGGCAATTTGACAATATAGATAGTCACATGAAGTCACTGAAGGTCCAACATTTGGTTGTTGGTTTATTACTGTGGCAAAGTGGATTGCAGAGGGATGATTAGGTTTGACTATCCTGATTGTCTAAATGACTCAGAAAAGCACTACAGGATCAGGGCACCTGGTTAAAGCTTTCAGTTCTGTCAGCAGCGACACATGTGCTGCCTTGAATTCTACTGCTCTGAGCTTAGATTTCTTCAATCAGGAAATAGAAAACCTGCATAAGGCAGCAATTGGATTCGAGACTGAAATTGACCTAGACTGTGTTCAGATATTTTGCAATCTGTATAAGACAATAACGAGGGAAATATTATTATGATTATTTGATTATTATATAAACTTCTAGAGCTTCTCTAGAAGTGCTGCCAGAAAGTCATTGATTCATTCATGTCATCCTCATCCTTCATACTCTATCACTTCTTTATCCCATCCAAACTAAGTCTGATGGGTTCTATGTTCTAAGCATCTCTCCAATACACCAACTGCTCTCAACCTCCTGCCCAACTGCCACCCTAGCATCAGTCATCTTCTCGAATCTCTCCCAGGCCCGAATACCAGGATGCACTCTAGCTCCTCCTCATCCTGACTCCATGCTGGGATCATGGCAGGCTTCTGAAAATGTAAATCTGATTCAGTCACCAAAAGGCATCAAGGACAACACCCAGCTGGAAGGACGGAGTCACCATAACCTGAATGTGGGAAAACTGTGGGAGGAAATTTTTTGAGGACAACATTAGCTGCTAACACACATTTTTTCTGTGTGTGATGATAAAGCAAGAAGACAGCTGTACTATACTTTGAAAATGTCTGATTATATAAATGGAGGATGTTCTTGTCTAGTTAATTGCATTTTGCTTTCTGTGACCATTATGACCATTTAAAAAGATGAGTGAGATATCCGTAGCAACTCCTAACATTTTCACTATCTAATTGTCTCTTTGGAAAATTGACCAAATACCTGGAATACGATAGGCATTCAACAAATGTTTATTGAATGAATCAAATGTGAGCCACTGACCTCTTATATGCAGTCTCACCTTGGACAAATTAAAAAGCACTGAAGGGACCATTAGATACTTATCCCTGAATTATATTTCAGAGGAGGCAAGAGGTATTAGGGACACATGGAGGGTCATTCATGTCAAGGAAGACAGACCCCAAAAAACCCAAGATCACAGGAAAATGCACAGTGGGACAAAACCATGTTGAGCAAAGTAAGTGGAATATTTGTGCTAAAAGGCAAAACAAGCTCTGGAATTATCAAAACCCAAATGAGGGAAGTAAACAAAAGTGCAGCGTTAGAATAGATATTATACCACCAAGGGTTATACTAATATGAAAAACAATGGGTCACACTTAATAAAGAACATTCTCTGGACATGTGACTGATTCAGAGCTGCTGCTTTATCATCCTGAAGTATGCATAGGAAACTTCAGAGAGCCCGGGTGACTTATTCCAACCTGGAATCCCAATAAATTCCCTCTGGAATCTTCCTTTTTATAGTCTTAAATCAGAATATACATACATGATAATCTGCACTGGAATAAAGGGCTAATTCATCAGCAGTCTTCAGAGCCCCAAAGGGGACATTAGCATCGGCGTGACTCTTCAGTTTATGATTTTAGAAAAATGAGACAGCTGAATTAAAATCATAATTTTAAAATATTTTTGTAATACATTTACATAATTGAGGCAATAACCATTCATTGAATGAATAGATTGTTTTAAATTTAAGGAGCCCATTCTCACCTTTCCTCCCCCACCCCTACTCTTGTAAATGGAAAAGACCTCAGATCATGAATCAAAGGGTACCAACACACAGTTCAAAATCTGGAAAAGGTAGTGGGGTGGAGATGTTGAATGGGCACAATGAGCACAGACTCTACCTCTTTCAGTGCAAAGCAACCTCTGTTGAAAAGTGGTTATCCTTTAAACCACTTTAAAAGGCAAATCACCACTGAGCCACTAGTGTCTCCAAGACATAAGAACGAGCATTAGTAACTTACAAGTATCTCATTTGGTGTTTCAAGGCAAGTAACTATAGAAAAACCAAAGAAAGAGCTATCACAGGTTCCTGGAACGTTTGCCTGGGAAGGTATCTTAACAATTTCCTAATTCAGGCCTTCATTTTTCCAGTGGAGGAAAGTGAAGTGTACGAGGTATGCAATTTGCCCAATGACCCTGCAATTAATCCAGGAGCCCCCAGGTGACACCAGGAACCAACTGGAGCAGCTCCAGGATGCCCAAGTCCACCACCCCTGTCCACCTTGACTCCTTTTTTTAAAAAAAAAAAAAACACATTTTCTTTTTTTTTTTATGTTGGGGACTGGATTTTGGAAGACACAAATTCCAGACAGTTAACTGTCTTTGCCTTATTATAAATATTAATGATTCTTGTCAACTTTCTGCCTGCTTCTCTCCAGTTTTTAAAGTTGGCAGTCAGAACGTCCAGTCTCAACAGTGCAAATCAATTCAAGGAAAACTCAGTAAATTAGCAGATGACAGAACAACTGCAGTGTCTCATCTCAAAACGACACATCTCACAAGTGGAAAATCAATGTCTGAAGACTGGAGTAAGGTAAACCTTCTCTCTGCCCCCTTCCTGGAGGGGGCATTTCAAATTTTTAGAAGTAGTAGTCATTCCTCGGAAACAACTTTCCTTTTTGCCTTCTTTCCTTTCTTTTCTCTCTCTCAAAAATATACTCAATCTAGTATCTGGATTTGTCGGTCGTTAACCTTGAAATCTTGACTCCTTCAAAGAAGGCAAATCCCATGAGTTTTCTCTCTGTTGTATTTCCTGCAGTACCTGCAGCACCTAGCGCAGTCCCTGGCACACAGTAGGTCCCCAGTAAATCTTTGTATCAACAGGGAGAACAGAAGACACCATAAGGGAGGGAGAAGGTATGACAGAACAGCCCCTGGTATTTTCTTGTATTAGCGTGCAACATTAATGATAATGTGCAACATTCTGTCCCGTCACAAAATAAGAGGGAAATGCACTCCCTTTCCAAGGAGTGAAACGGCTGCACCCCAATGCTCCCGGCAGCATTTCTTTTGCAAGTCCACTCGCCACACACTGAGATCATGAAGCAGCCCTGCCTCCTGTCCAGTCTTATTCTCGTCCTTTCAACATATCTGACTGAAGGCTGAATGAGCGACCTAGGCCTAACCCCAGGAACCCCATTTGTCAGCCTTTGTCAGCGGGGCGGTGGCAGAGTCCAGCCCCGGTCCCGGATGCAGTGACCACAGCGTTGGGGCAAAGAAACACTGAATCCAGGGTTGGGGCTCCTCGTACCTTCTAAAAGATTTCAGGAAGCGCCACTGAGTGAGCAGGTGGCACTTCGGGGTGACGTACCCGACCACCCGCCACCCCCTCAGCTGTGGACCTGCGTGGACCTGCGGGGAGCCCCGACTACCATCGCCCCTCGCAGTCCCCACCTGGGGCAGCCCAGTGGCGCCCCCTGTGTCTTCTGCATGCGTCAGGACACTCACCGCGTAGTGCAGCTGGGGCTTCTCGCCGCGGTACACCGGGTGCCCCATGTTGCCTCCGGGAGGAGTGGCACGCCTTGGGCTCAGCCTGGGGTCACGGTGTCTCTCTGAGTTCCCCGTACTTCACTGCCATCCCGGGGCAGCCCCGGGGCGAGAGCCCTGCTCCGTGCGTGCCGAGTGCTATGCAAAGCGCCCCTGACACAGCGTCCCGCCGCAGAGCCGGTGGGGACCTGGAGAAGGCGGCGCAAAGTGGGAGGGGGAAGAGGAGGAGGAGGAGGGAGCGGCCGAGTCTGATGCGATGGGCGGGCGTTTAATTCCTTCCGCTCCTGGCTGGTCCCTGCGGCAGCCACCGCTGACAGCTGTTGGGGGGTTGCGGAGGCCGAACGCGCCCACGACAGGTGTCAGGCCGGCCGGCACGCCTGCCTCCTGCTACCCTACCCTCCCCGGACCCGTGGGACCCCGGCTGCTGAGGCGGGGACTGCCAAACCTTTCAATGCCAGTGAGAGGGAGAACTTGGGTTTCCAAGAAAGAGAGACTTTAACTTTGAAGGAGGTGTGGGCCTGACAGTGGAAGGAGATTCAGAGCCTTCTCCTGGGAGGGCAGAGTTTCCCTTTCTAGAAAGCCTTCTTCTGTTACAGTCTCAAATGCGGGGACCCTTGGAGAGGGCAGGACTGACAGGAACCAAGTCATGCTACCCAGGGGAACTGCTGAGGGGACAAGGCTGTGAGGGATGCTGGTCACCTAGGGCTAACCGAGTTCCAGGAGGGGCTTGCAGGACACATACTGTAGGTTCATAATAACCCTTAAAACTGGTCTCTGCTCTGAAATTGCCTCATGGAAACCTGTACTTTTAAAACACCTTGGAGAAGATCACAGAGTTCCCTCCACAGCCTTGTCATTCTGTAATTTACGTCCAGCCTCCCACAAGTTGAACCCAGACAAAAGCCAGGCCTGGGGCCAGAGTAGAGACTCCAGATTCATGAAATCAATCAATGCAAGCCCCAGAGGGGTGGCTACGAAGTGGAAGATGTGTTTGGGGGTAGCTTGTGCCAATTTGTCAGGGTCCCACTGTACTGAACCAGCTGAATGACTCTCCACTTGCTCTGTGTAAGAGGAGGAGGGAGGAAAGTTGGATGTGGCCCCTGAATTTCAGCCCTTACAATTTAGTTGAATGAACCATGTAACATTTTAAAACAATTCGCAGCATAATTGTAATTAGCAGTGGGAATGTGAAGCCAGAGGTGCAAGTGACCTGAGGAATCTACCATTAGATAGTCCCATGATGGTTTATCCACTTGGAAAACTGTATGGTTATATCTGCTAAACTCAATCATAGGCCTATCCTCTGATCCAGCAAATTCCACCCCTAGATATATAAAGTACAATAATCTCATCATATACAAGAATGTTCATACTGTCTTGAGGCATAATTGCCCCAAATAAAAGCGATCCAAATGTACACCAACTGGTGCATGACAAACCAACTATAGTCTGTGCACATGATGGAATACTACTCAGCAATAAAAAGGAAAATGCTACTGATGCACAGAACAAATGAATTAATCTCACAAACATTATGTTGGGAAAAAGAAACCAGACACAAGTGTACATACTGTAAGATTTCACTTATTTATTCTGCAACTGAAATTCAAATGTTTAAGTACAATAGGCAAATGGAATCCATGGTGATAGGTGTCATAATAGTGGTTACCAAAGGGGGAAGGTGGTATTGACTAGGAAGGTGGTACAAGGGAACCTTCTAGGGTGCTGGAAATGATCTATATCTTGATCTGTATGGCAGCTACTGGAGTACACCCATATGTAAACTTTCACTGAGCAGTACAGTTCAGACTAGTATAATTTACACCCTTCACTATGTGTATTTTATACTGCAAACATAAAAAATAAAAATAAATTTAAAATCAATCCCTTGCCAAACCCAGGAACTTCCAGTGTTGCCTGTCTTATGAGAAAGTCAATTGAACTATTTGCCCAAGTCTCTCGTTCTCCCGCACTATTTGCCCAAGTCTCTCGTTCTCCCGCGGTCTGACCTACCCAAGTCTCCTTTCTTCTGCTTTGTGAGAGAAATGAGCATGCCCATTCATCTTGGAGGCCTTCCCTGCTCTGCGACATGTCCAGGCAGAGCTGGAAAAATGACACACTGAAGTTCCCTCTACTTTCACTCTGTTCTGCTGCTAAAAGCAACCTTTAGAGGAAAGTCATCAAAGACCCTTAGAATAAGACAGAGAACCAGCTTGAGCTTCACCATCTGGCATCTTTCAGAGAACTGCAGCCAGGGCAGCCTGATGGGGGCATGTGTATACAGATGTAATTCAGTGGCCTAGACAAGCCCCAGTTTAGGGACTTTCACTTCACTGTGGTCTATTCAGAAAGATGAACACTCCAGCCTTAGAACTTTTTCTTCTGTCACACTTGCCTTTAAGCCCCTGAAGCTAAAAATCCCTTTCCCTACAAACACTATTTAATTATTAATCTATTTAAACAACACAAGGTGAATCCCTGGGTCTTTAAAACCTTAACCATAGCCTTTTGATCATTACCCCTGAGTAAGTCACCTCTTAAAACTGGGTCATCCTAGATTTGGTTTATATTCTTTCTTTGAAAAATGTAGTAAGTCACTAAATGACATTCTTGTAAGCCAAAAATACTCCATCATCCCCACACTGTGTACTTACATTTTAGGAATGACTTCTGCCTTCTAGCATTATTTATTGCTAAAGTGTCATAGCTAAGTTGGAGTAAAATGTTCAAGTGCAATAGGGTTGTTTTTTCTCTGTGTTTGAAGAGTTTTGTGAGATTGGGCAAAGCACTTAAAGAAATGATCAGTTCATGCTGCAAGACTCTTAAATCACCTTGGAATGAATCATCCACCTCCTTCAATTCTTAGTCCAATTGTTTAAGGCTCAAAGCTCCAGAAGGGATGTAGAAGATCATGCAGAACTCTAAGAAGTCTGTTCAATCTTAAACAATTTGAATTTCACACATTATTATTTCATTTAAATATATTTCAGGGTATATTTAAAACACTACTCTAATCAAAATTTCTTATTTGCATACCTGTACTTCCAAGTATCCTTCCCATGTTATTTGTTCACTTGGTCATGATTCAACAAATAATATTTTACATTTAACATTTTTATTTGTATAAATGTATGGGGTAGCAGTATAATTTCATTACATGGATAGATTGTGTAGTAATGAAGTCAGAGCTTTTAGGGTATCCATCACCAGAAGAATGTACATTTTGCCCATTAAGTAATTTACCATCATCCACCCCCACTGTCCTTCTGAGTGTCCATTGTCTATCATTCCACACTTTATAAATATTTCTAAGTGTATACTATGCACAGGTATTGTTCTAAGTCAACTAAACTGTATATTGACATGGCATGTGGTTTCAGAATGCATGTTTGATCCTTTGGGGGTAATGGAGAGAGAGAAAAAGGAGCAAGAAGCACATAAAACCTCACTTCAGAGGAGGCTGAAGTTCACCCAATTTGTTGGTTAAGAGCCTGCTAGGCTAATGTTATTCTTTGTTTAGTTTTTTTTTCTTTTTTAAAAAAATAAATTTATCAGATATTTATAATTCACCCCAGAAAGGACTTAAAAATAATCTGTATGAGTTACTCTACTAGCACCTTTAAGAGAAAATGTGCCCTGCTAACTGTGGAATTTCCACGTCTTCCTGTCCCTAAACGTTACAGCATTTCCAGAACTGAATGCTGCCCTTTCTGCCAGAGCATTTAAATTAAAATCCTTGTTTGCATTTATTCTGCCTGCCTATAGGCTGAGTTAAAATTTTCCACAGTTAATGCCAATGCAAGGGGATTACTTTTTTCAGAAAAACTTTACCCAAATCTGTGAAAGCAAATTCAACTTCATAGTGTAGGAAGAGCTGAGGGCCCATCTGAGTATTAAAAATCACTTCAGATGGCAGGACAGGCCCTTCTTGGAGGCCCAGCCCCACCATTATTAACAGAGTTGCTATGAGATCCTCTTAGATGGGTAACCCCTCCCCCAAACCCAGTGCCCACACTATGCCATCCTATTGCCCTGCTAATCTAGCCTCTAGAGCCCTAGAGTATTTTTAACATTTTGAAATGGAAAAATCATAGCATATAATGTGCAGCTTAATGAATTGTTACAAAACATTCACCTGTCTAACCTTCACTGAAGTCAAAAATTAGAATATTGCTAGTACCCTAGACCCCCATGTCCCTTGGCTGTACTTCCCTCCCCCATCCCAGTGGTAGACACTGTCATGACTTCACTTCTTCACTTCCTTTCTCCAGCAGGGTTTCTCAACTCCAACACTCTTGACATTTGGGAACCAATCATTCTTTGTGGTAGAGCCTGACATTGCAGAATGTTTCGCATCACCCCCAGCCTCTACCCACTATATGCCAGTATTATTCCCCCTACACCAATTGTGGTAACCAAAGATGACTCTAGACATTGCAGATGTCCCCCAGGGAGTGGGGAAAGGCATAATCACTCCTGGTTGAAATCCACTGCTTTTTAGGAAGTCAGGCATCCATAAATATTAGAGCTTAGTGTTGCCTGTTTCCTAACTTTATATAAACAGATTCGTAAGTATGCTTTTATTGTAGCTGACTTCTTTTGCTCAACATTCTGTTTCTAAGGCTCATTCATGTTGCTGTATGTAGCTGTTGTTTGTTCATTCCCATTGCTGTCTAGTACTCATTATATGTGTTTATTACTATTTATCTTTGTAACTGTTGATGGACATTTATGTGCCTTTCAATCTTGGACTACTGAAAACCACACTGCTTAAACATCATTATACATATCTCCTTGTGCATATGTGCATGCATTTTTATAGGGTACAAACCCAGGAATATAACTGCTGGGTCATAGGCATGCATATCTTCAACTTTACTAGACAATGCCTAACAGTTTTCCAAACTGTATTAATTAGAATCTTTATTTACACTATTGTATAAACAGACTGAACACAGTTTATATGAAGACTGAACACAGTTTAGAGTTGTCTCTTTTTAAAGTTTTTTCATAGAGCTACAGAGATGAAATTAAGGAAATCAAAGTCCAGGATCAGAAAGGAGAGTTGGAGTAGCAGCTTAAGGCCCTCCTCATCTGAAATCATGTGTCTCCTGTAAGTGAAGAACCTACCAGCCCTGCTAGGGCCCTGGCATTGGCAATGACAAGGCTGACTTCACCCATACTCACAGACAGGAGCAATGAATACACCGAATGTGCTTTTGAGGGAGGATATCTCATTAGGCAGAATTTCAGCAAACTGGGGGTAAAATCTCAGCCTGACAACTGTAAACATATATGCCATTTCAGGAATTATCATTTTGCTCTACAGCCATAATTTCTTCCCACCCTGTTAACCCTTCCAGGGATGTAGAGATAGAAGAAATTATAAGGAAGAATGAAGGTCCTCATTCTTTTTTCCAGGTAAGTTTAGGGAGACAACCCCCAGCCTGAAGACAGCTGGGCTGAAGAGCAGTGAAGGAAGAATTCCTGGTGTTTCCAAAAATGGTGCCTGGAGCTGTGGTCACATAGGAGAGATGGAGAAGAGAGAGGAGAACATCCTGGCACAGCATAGTACCATTGTCTTTGGCTTCAAACCCTAGTACGAAGAATATCATAAATACATGCATCAACTGGAGTCAAGAATATGATAATCTGAAAATTCAGGGAAAGAAAACAAGCAAGGAAGGGTGAGGAAAAAAGAACGACCATTACAGTAGGTTCTATTTGGTATTATTGGCTTATCTTGTTTTTGCCATTTTGATATTTTCACTGAAGAATTTCTACTCTATGCCACACAACCAGAGAGGGTATCCTTAAAAAGTACCTAAAAAGAGACATTTCTTATATGTTCAATTAAAGGGTCATTAGGCAAAAAGGAGAGGCCGCAATTTCTCCAGCTATGACTTCCCAAATAACCGTCTGGGAATTAAGAAATGATTTTTCATTTATATCCATAATCAAATGTTAGTCTATTGCCTTCATTCCTCTGATCATAATCTCCTTTCTTCTGCACAGTTGCACAGTGTTTCAGTTGTCTAAACCCTGCAGAATTCCCATGACAACGCCAACACTGCAGGTGCTAGAATTGTTGTTTGAAATGGTAACAATTCCACTATTCATTAAGCACCTACGTCACAGGCTCAACTAGATGCTTTGCAAACATCTGGATCCGCAAAACAACCCGGAAGGAAAGTATGATTATCTTAATTTTATTTATGAGGGTAATTAACTTGTTTTGCACATCTAATAAATGGTGGAGTTGCGATGTAAATGGTAGTTGACCCCAATCTCTTTGCAGGCCATTCCAGTATGTTTCAAGGTAGAGATTCTTTTTGACAAGTCAGACCCATTCATTAGATTGCTGGTGTCACATCCACACCTCCTAGGCCAGTGATTCTCAACAGGGGAAATTTTGCCACTGAGAAGAAACTTGGCAATATCTGAAGCTATCTTTGGCTGCCACAACTGCAGGGGAAGGGTGTCACTTGCATCCAGTGGGTGGAGACCAGAGATGCTGCTAAACATCCTGCGCTGCACAGGACAGCCTTCACAACAAAGAATGTTCTGGTCCCAAATGTCTAGAGTGCCAAGGTGGAGAAACCTTTCACAGACATAAGGAATTCATCCTTCAATAATTTCCACTTAGCAGTGCCTCTCACACTAACAACACATTTTCTTTCAGTGAAGTAGGTCTTGCACCACCCAAGAAAACAAAGAGAAAGTTCTCCAGAGCAGAAGAGTAGAACTGAGCCCTGGGTCTCCACCCATCGTTGAAGACTCATACACAAGTGGGTCTCCACGCAACATGGTGTGCTGTTAAAAGGCTAACAGACTGGGTAAAAATTGGCCATTTGTGTGATCAAAACTGACCACTCTGGAGTTCTTTGGAGTACTTGACTAGTCACCCCCCAAAAAACCACTTTTATAACCTCAAGAAACTCCTGGCTTCAGAGGCTCAGGAGTAGGATGAATGATGACACCTGGCATCACTCCGGTGTCTGCAGGTTTCAAAGCAATTTCACATATATTGGTTTCCCTACCCCCCTCACCTACTAATCTATCTTGTGATAATGATAGGGAGCAGAACATATAAGGCAAATGTTAAGAATTTGTTGTCAGGAGTGTAATAAAATGAGGAGAATAAAACAGAATGTCCTTTTCCTGCCAAGTCACTTAAACTGTCTGTATCTCATTAATCCAGCAAATAGAGAGGATGAGCCAGGGAGTTCCAGATCCCCCAGGAATGCTTGGTACATAAAGGTCAAGCACCAACAGTTTAGCAGGGCCTTCTTTGCCTTGCTGTGCAATAAGAACCAACCGAAGAAAACTGCTCCAAGCCTAATTTCTTGATTCTTTTCTTTGGGGACCATGCCTTATGAAGGTGGTTCTCAGCCAGGGGCAAATTTGCCCCTTAGGGCACATTTGACAATATCTGGAGGCATATCTGGTTGCTGTAACTTGGAGGGAGGGGGAGCTGCTACTGGTATCTAGTAGGTGGAGGCCAGATATGCTGCTCAACTTCCTACAATGCACAGGATAGCCTCCCACACACAAGGCAAAGAATGATCTGTTCCCAAATGTCAATAGTTCCAAGGTTAAGAAACCCTATTTTTGGTTAAAATTGTTACAGTCAAAATAATTCTAATAAATCATAATCTAAGCATCAGACTGGGACTTTTTTCATTATTTCAACTTTAGTTGTCTTCCTTTGTGTCCTTGCACACAGCACAGATGAAAAGATATTACCTGGAAAGATAATAATATTTCTTCTCCCTTTCGGTGGAATACAGAACACGAGGAAGAGGGACCAGAAGGAAATGGCTAGTCAGTGTTTTTGAAGGTATGGTCTTCAGGAAAATGGGCATCAGCATCACTTGGGTGGGTACTGGGTATATACCCAAAGGATTATAAATCATGCTGCTATGAAGACACATGCACACGTATGTTCATTGCGGCACTATTCACAATAGCAAAGACTTGGAATCAACCCAAATGTCCATCAGTGACAGACTGGATTAAGAAAATGTGGCACATATACACCATGGAATACTATGCAGCCATAAAAAAGGATGAGTTTGTGTCCTTTGTAAGGACATGGATGCAGCTGGAAACCATCATTCTTAGCAAATGATTGCAAGAACAGAAAACCAAACACCGCATGTTCTCACTCATAGGTGGGAACTGAACAATGAGATCACTTGGACTCGGGAAGGGGAACATCACACACCGGGGCCTATTATGGGGAGGGGGTAGGGGGAGGGATGGCATTGGGAGTTATACCTGATGTAAATGACGAGCTGATGGGTGCTGATGAGTTGATGGGTGCAGCACACCAACATGGCACAAGTATACATATGTAACAAGGCTGCACGTTGTGCACATGTACCCTAGAACTTAAAGTATAATAATTAAAAAAGATATTCTAAATAATAAAATTTAGCCTTGAAATTAAAAAAAAAATAGATTGTGAGGACCTCTCTAGAGCCTACTTGCATAATCCCTTGTAGCACCACACCATTGACATTTTTAGTAAGATTCTTTGGTTGTTATCCCGTGCAACACAGTTTGAAAGCCACTAATGCAGTGATAGTACGATGCAGAAACTGAAACTCAGAAAGACCAGGTGACTTGTCCAACGTCATGCTGATAGCATGAGACAAATGTCAGAAGCCATCCTGAGCTCTGGATTTAATGTTAAAAGAAGGTGGAAAATATTCCTAAGTATATGACTAACAAGCAAGGATCAGACCCATTCACAGCTACAGAAGAAGAAATGACCATAACATTTGGCCCAGTTCAGCACAACCCAGAGCCTGCTAAGTAACTTGCTACATTTTCCTGTGGTTTTGTCAAGTTTTCTCCCCATTGTCTTCATGACTAAGAATAAAAAGAATGCTATACGTGACTTCTTTTAAAGCTCTTAAGATAA